TGATACGTTTGAGCAGACTCATCCTCCTTTACTCTACCAGTACCGAAGAAAGAAGAATAAGAACAAGGGCCGGACCCACCAGACCCACTAAAGATCTTCCTCGGATCAGGAGAAGACGGCTGGTTCTAGAAGAGGAGTCATGAAGGACACGTCACGAGGGAAGAAAAGCGTGAGTAGAGAGTGGGAGTATTTAGCAGAGAGTTTGTTGCATTTTGTGAGGTATCTTTTTGGTGAGACCAAGTTGTTGAGAGAGGAGAGAGGGAACTCCTATAATATACCCTGTGTTTGTAAAACGCTTGGGAAGAATCGATGAATAAAGCTTGAATCATCTCTTTATTAACCGGATTCTAACAGGTTTTACATCACAAATCGTAACAAAGACAATTTCTCTCTGACATTTCCAAAAGGGGACCAGTTTGGATGCCAGATGCTGCAATTACGGCCGTTCCCAACAATGAATCTAATCAAAGGGTAACCAAGGTGCCTGATTTCAATGAGTCTATTGGTTAGCCAAGAATGCTTCTGCTTGGTGTTGATGATCCAGAGATTATTCAGGTCGCCATCAAGAACAGTGTCAATGAACCAAGAAGACCAAATCGAGTTTTTCCGAAAGAAGAGCAACCAGAATAGCTTTAAAACCGAAGCTTGATTCCAAACAGATAAGTCCTAACCCTCCTTCAGCTTTTGATGTTGTTACAGAGGACCAAGCAACTCTAGCAGTCCTAGGTCGCTCAATCGATCACCACAAAGAGAGTTAATTTTGTCTATGCATTCTTTAGGCAGGAGAAAGGTGCTACACCAAAAGCCTGAGATCCCAGCAATAACAGAGGTGAGGATCTGGAGCCTACCGGCATAGGAGAGTGTTTTACTGGCCCAGGTAGTCATTCTAGTCTTAATCCTCTGAAGCAGTGGTTCACACTGAATAATGTCTAACTTCTTTGTGCAAAGAGAAACACCCAAATATCTAACCGGTAATAAGCCTCTAGCTATGCCCCTAGACTTACTAATAGACATAGCTTCTGCATCTGAAAGTCCAGAAGAGAAGAAAGTTGTTTTCTGAACACTGAGGGCCAAGCCCGACATTTTCTCAAACTCCCTTAAGACTGCCATTACAAAAAAAAATTCTTAGTTATGATTTTGTCGGATCAACTGTTTGACAATTAATCTCATTTTTTTTAAATCCATGCTAAGCACATGATTTAAATATTCCATAAATTGATTGTTTGATTTTGAAGTGTTATTAGGAAATACTCTGATTCTCATTAACTCACAAATGATGTGCAAAGTATGTACACATGATTAATCTATATTCTATCTGTATTCTAATAAGTGTATATACAAACAAGAAAAATTTGCTAAATTATGACATATTGAAATATAAAATATTTTAATACACTTTTATGTCTATAAGAATGTCCCATTGGGATTTAGTTTCAGTTAATTCTAATTTTGACCTTCATTATATAGACAAAGATTTTTTTTTTTCGAAACTTCCAACATTCGAAAGTATGGACCGGTCAGAGCTCCAGTTCCTTCCGTCCGGTCTTCTTGATCAATTTTTATCTCGTCACATTACCACACTCGAAGACTTCAACGACCAGTCTAATAGATTGGGTCTATGCTTCTAGTGGAGTTTGTATAAGGGGTATGTATCTCTTTGATGCTTCATGGACCCTAATAGACTGGGTCTAATAGACTAGGTCTATGCTTCATGAACCCTATCTCTCTTAACCGCCATTGTATAAGGCGTGTGTATCTCTCACCTTGTTTCTAGTAGACTGGGAGTGAGAGTACTCCCACGAGAACTACCGGCACGTCGCTGAGAACTATTTACATTGCCGTGTTCTTTATTTTCAGCTCATCAAATTATACACAAAGAACAAAAGCGATTCATGAGGTTACGTATTCCGCAAGCATAAACTCTACATAAAAAGAGATAAATATGCAGTAAAACTTACTTCGGAATCATAAAACGACACTTTTGTAACAAAAACTTCTAAAACGAGACGAAGGATTAAAAGGGAATAACAAAAATGGCGGGATCAGCTTGCGCTGCTGGAGTTAGAAGGGAAGCTATTGTGCGGTGCTTCCGTCATAACCGTCGTCGCTGCTGTTCACTTTCTTCCTCTGGATTTCATCTCCGAGCAATTGAAATCTGTCCTCTTCCCTTCAAATTCGACGCCGCAAACTTTTCTTCATAGTACTCTCTTTCTGGTGATGATTATGGTGATTAATTCGAGTATTAAACTTGTCAAGAAAAGACTGGGATGCTTCCTTCTCAAGAGGTTCTTCTCCAAAATCTCTCATATTTTCCAGCTCCTGGTATATACTAAAACACCTCATTTGTTCTATATCCAGATTTGAATTGTCTGTTTTAAATGCTTATATAGTTCGTTTTTCTTAAGGAAGCTTTACTTGTTGATCATGTGATGATATCTACAGTGGGCATGTTCTGCCTGGTTCTTCTATTCTCTCAATCTTTAGGTGAACCTTTATGAATTGTTTAGCTCATTTAAACTCACATTTTCCTCTGAGGTTTGTTTTCTGTTTTAATGTTAGAAAAAGAGAAGAAATTGAATTCTCAAAATTGTGCTGAAAAGAAAGGCTCATCCCAATAATGTTAAGTTGCAGTTGTGCCTACTCAATATTGTTGATTATGTTTTATTTATAAGTTGCAGTTGTGGACCTGGTTAATGGTGATTAATGTGTTTTCTTGTCTTAGGTTTCGTGTAGTATGCAAGATAATTTGCTTAACAGTCCTCATCTCTCAAATCTATTGGCGGGTCCAATAAGATGATCCATTAACACGATTTACATGGGGTTTAAGTTCAAATTACCCTTACCAAATTACTCTTGGTAAGGGTAATTTTATGGTCTTCTACAAAAATAATACGATGACCACATGCAGGGAGATTATATAGCTGCAAGTAATCCTTTTCCTTTTGAGTCTAATAATATGGTGACATGACCTCTCTAGATTTGTAAGTCCAAGCTTTACTATGTTTTCATAGGTTTCTCCAGCTGAGATGGAAGCCTTTCAAAAGAAATATAATCGTTATTAGCAGGCCAAGAGGACATGGATCTAACCAAAAAAGTTGTCGAGTCTCTAAGATTTTAAGCTACGGTGAGTAATGTATATAGTAACGTGCTTACCATTATCAAGTGTGTATTACTAAAAGTTGATTTTTCTTGCTAAGTGTTCCATGTTTGACTAGGTTGTGTTCATTTATAACTATGGTTTGTAATTGCAAAGCGAGATTATTGCCAATTGCTGAGATAATAACCCCAAATAGGAAAGAAACATTTGCTTTACTTGGCAGTGTTTGGATCGAGAATGTTGCAGAAATGCAGACTGGAGAAAAGTTGTTACATGAAACGAGTCCTATGTTTCCCTTTTCTCTCATTCTTCTGCCGCTTACACTTTTTTTGCTCCATTGTGATCAGATTGGCTATGCCACCTTTTGCAACAACCACGACAAGAACACTTTTCTTTCTCAGTTTCCTCCTCACTGCCACTGGACGAGTTGCTTTCGCAGAAAACTCTCTATTTTCATTGACCACTCAGGGTCATGATTTCGTAATTCTTGTGTTAAGTCTGATCTATTTAAATCTGTGTAAATCCAGAGAAGGGATCGAAGTAAATTGTGGTCACATACTTGGCGACGGATGATGCGCTTCTACTTGATGTCTTAGCTCATGGTGTAACAGATGATACCTATTTCGAGGAACAATATGTTATAGTTACTCTTATCGCTTTGTTAGTTTTGATGGTGGTTCTTTTTTTGCTATATTAAGGTACTGAAAAGTTTTGGTTTTGGAAAAATTGGGTATAATGGTTATGGCTCACGAGTACAAAGAGATGAGTGTTAAGAATTAGAGACTGATAAGCAGAGTGACATAGATGTAAGAACGCAAAAATTGAATTGAGAAAAACCGAATAAAAGATGAAAACAAATT